GGAGGATGTAAAATATTTTAAGATGTATTTTTTTTTTTTTTTGGGGGGTGAAAGATATATTTTTTTCATGCGTTGTGGAATACACTGGAAAATTTCAGGGAAAATGCATTTAAAAGCCTTTTTTTAGTAAAAGTATATTTATTAATTTTTTTTTACTTGGTGCAGCCGTAGGTTCAGCATCCCTCGATGAGAGTCCCTCCACCAAGCAGCATGAGGCTGCCCAGGCTGTGGATGCCACTAGCTAAAAATCCCAGATCCTGGATTTCTCTGGGAGGGACTGTCCCTGGAGGATGCTGATGGGGGAATTGGGGACAGCAGGCCTGGGGACAGGGCTTGGAGGATGCTGCAGGTCTCAAAAAAGCTCTGCCAGGCTGCTGCAGCTCCTGAGACCTGCCTTAATTTCGGAGTGCAAAGGGAAAAGATGTGCCAAAGATGTAACCGAGGTGGTGACGGTGTGGACGAAGCACCCGGTTCTCCCTCCTGTCCCCTCTGGAGCGAGCTCAGCTGTGATTTCCCAGCCCAAAAGCTTCCCCAGACAAGTGCAGCTGGTTCCTGCCGCTGCTTTGCTCACCACCGTGCCTGGCCCAGGAAACTGCAAGCCCCGAAATCACCACGTGGCCCCAAAGCTCCATCCTTCTGTGGCCGGCTTGCCACTAGTGTGAGATCTGGCTGGGATGGGGGCGAGGGGCTTTCTTAAGGGATTTCTTTTATTTTCTTTTTTTTTTTGATAATCCTTTTGCAGTTTTGAGAGGAAACCACTGACAGGAGCTCAGGTGCTGCATGATGGCTTGTGGGGCACCTTGCTCTGGACAGCAAACAAAGATGTAGAGGGATTTTTAATATTTATATGTAAAAGGAGGGATAAGGGGGGGAGTTTTTTTGTAACTATTTTTTCAACCTACATGTGGGGCTTATTGTAATTGAAAATAAATACTTACTGAGTCTGGAGTTGCTTATGACTTGGGTGGTTTTATTTTGTGATAGCAGGAGAGTTGTGGATTCCTTTATCTGTGTTTTTCTCCCTGTCTGTACCAATGAGAGCACCCTGTGCTGACAAAACTGAGCTGAGGAGGCTTTTCCCAGCCTGTGCTTGGTGTCTGCCACCTCTCTTGGAGGCTAAAACCAGCCTTTTGTGCCCAAACCCTCGCTCTCAGTGCGGGTGGCTGGTTGCTTTCCACCTCTATGGCACAGCCCCACACCTCTCCCCAGCAGGGAAGTGTTGCCCTGATGCTTTTCCTTCCTCCCGGGTGAGTTTTTGGCCAGCTGGGCTGTGCTGGGATCCAGTGGCACAGGCCCTGCACAAGTTGCTCTCCAAAAGGGCCTTATTTATAGCTCCATGCTGCTGTCTGGATGCTGTCAGCTCGCTAGCACAGGCCAATGTTTGCTCCCATGGCTTCCACTGGCTTGCCCCAAAATTGCAAGGCAGGACCTGGACTGCAGGCTCCCCCCCCGAGCTTCACCCCAGCACCTGGGGGGGCTGATGGCTACAAAACAAGCAAAGTGTTGGGTGCTCGTTTGCTGTTTAGCCCTGGTTTGTTATGGGGGCTGGATTTTGACTGCAGCCCCCTAGTTTTCCTCCATTGGTAGCAAGCTTTTGGAAATACAGAGTGGTTTTGCTGCTGGGATGAGCAGGACTGAGCCAGCAGCGAGCCAGGGATGTGAATGGTGCATAAATAAGATGGCAAAATTTCCCTCTTGCTGTTTTTACTGTGTTTTCTCTCCCAGATGGAATCAAGACAAGCCAGCACTCACTTTCTGCTCGCAGGGCTAGGCGTGAGGCCCTCTGTTTCCTGCAGAGCTGGGAGCCCAGCCGTGGCGGCTGTTTTTTCCCCAGGAGCTGGCTGGAAGTGGTGGTGCAAACCCGCAGAGGGCGGTGGAGCCGAGAAAATCGCTGCCTGTGCTCTCCACGCCTGGACTGGCAAGAGCTGCCGACTACCGGCGTGGTGTTTTGGCCTGGGTCTGCCCCTGGCGTTGGAAAATGTGGTGAAATTCTTGCATTCCTAGGGAAAAAAAAGAGGAGTGACGTGGGTGTAAAGCAAAGAGGAGTTAAGCAGGGAGCGTGGGGCTGGGGTGAAAAGGTGTTTTTCCAGCTGCAAGAAGCAGGGAGGGGAGCACAGCCTGCTATAGGATGCTGGTAGAGGTGGCTTAACCATCCAAAAAAGGAAATATTTTGTCTCTCTGAGGCTCACCGGCAGTGAGGGACCAGGGAGGTGGTGACTCGGCCACCACGGAGGGGACAGCCCCAGCATAGGAAGGATTTTAAGGGTGAACATCAGCTTGCAGGGTGGTCAAAGGTCCCCATGCTGGGCTTGGAGCTGGCAGTGGCTGTTGGCCTGTCTGGGAAGCTGCTGGGTGCAGGCAGGAGGTGAATTGATGAATCAGCCCACGCCCGTGTCGGAGCCTGGTGTGGACTTGCCTGATCCTGGGTGGTATTTGCTTTATTTTGTGCTCAGTCGTGCCCTGGAGGGCAGAGACGTTGCCGAGGGCTGAGCCCGGGCAGGAGGAGGAGGAACAGGGAAAGCTCCAAGCAGGTTTGGGTTGGTTTTTTAATGGTTTTTATTTTTGCCTGCAGGGTGTTGGAAGGGGATCAGTGGGGGTGAAAAGTAGAAGCTCAAAAAGGGAAGTGCTGCCACGCTGTGTGAAAGCGGGTGCCTGGGGCATGCTGGAGCCTCCAAAAGGAGCTGGAGTTGGTGGTTGTTCCCAGCAGTGGTGGGGTCTAGGTGTGAGAGGCTGAACCCACCCATTCAAACTGCTCTTCTTCCCAGTTCGTCCTCTCCAAGCAGGATCTAACCCCCAACACATCCTGGTGGTGCTGGGGTCACTTACTGGGACTGTGGGATTTTTAGGGCAGTGAAGAGGCCAAAACTTCCTCAAACAATTCCTGCAGGAAAGCAGCCCTTCCCCAGTAATACCCCAAACTTTTACTCTCTTTTCCTAAGTTCACCAACAGCTCTGGGGCTCCTACTCTTTGCCACGTGGTTGTGAGCATCTCTGCTGTGCCAGTTATGTGGGAGACTGGAAAACGAGTTGGGAATGCTCCCAACATGAGAGGTCAGGACTGTGGACTCAAGCTGCTCACAGTGACACAGAGGCTCTAAGGTCCTAATAAAGCCAAGAGGAAAAACAGGAGGAAAAACAAAACGGGGAGGAACCAGAGGCAGGAGGAAAGGGCGTGAATCCAGCTGGCACTTGCTCAGGCTTGCCAAACCTGCAGGTTTTGTCGGCCAAATTGTCCTACATGGAGTAGTAGAGAAGAAAGACCTGTAGAAAGTTTTTTTTCCTCATAAGAAAAAAAAAAAATATGGCTGAGGGAGACACAGGCTGTAGAAGAGCTTTAAAACAGAGCCAGGAGCCTGGCTCCATCACACAGCTAGCATGCTTTGGGAGCTTCAGCAGGCAATATGGTGAAAATGCTGGTTTTTTTTGCTTTCTAAAGGGACAAACTGAAGCTGTACATCTAAAGATCCTGGAGCTGGGAGGTTCGTTTGCAGCTGTGTTTACAGGCAGCTATTTCTGTGGAACAGAGGGAGCTGTGGATGTCAGTTTGCTTTGAGTCTGAATTTCCTTCCCTGTGAAGGGGTGTACCAGGAGAAGTGCCACGCCTGGGAGATGGCTGATGGAACAGTGCTGGGCACTGACCCCCCCACACCACACAGCTTTATTTGCACCCTCAAAATGATCACAGTAAAGTCCTTCCAAGATAGGGAGGGGGATTCAACTTCCCAACAGGCTGCAGACAGGAGAAATGAGCTTCAATCTTTGAGCAAACCCCCTTTTATGGTAAAAGTTCCTCCTCTGTTCTCCCATTTTCAGGGGGTAGGGGAGCATTTGGCCTTTCTTTTGAGGTCATTCTTATTTCTCTCTTCAACCTCCCATTTTCCTGGTGTGGAATCAGCAGCTGATTTGGCAGGTTTTAGGCTGTAGAGGAAAACTGGCTCAAGAAAACAATACCTGGAACCCCCTCTAAATATTTGATCCTGGCTGCAGATGGTAGTAGTTGCCATTTAGGACTTCTTTACAGACTGGCAAGGCTTGGTTGTGCTTTTTCCCTTAAAAAAAATCACCTTGTTTTGCATTTTACCCCCTTTCCTACAAGTAGGTTGAGGTAGGTATGAACTCACTTCACCCCAGGCGTTTCCCTTATCCCAGTGCAGAAGGAAAAGGACAGAAAGAGAGACTAAATAACACACTGGTCATCGTTCCTCTGCCATCAGCTCCACTTATAACTCCTGGCACTCCACAGTGCACTTGTTCAGGGTGGTTGTACCCTGTAGATAGCACCTTAGTAACTAAGAAACTATTCCAGTTGCACAGCTGCTCTTACCGGAGGCCAGTGCAGTGGCTTCAGCAGCATGGCAGCTCGCAGAACTTCTCTTTGGAGATCACACCTCGGGGTACACTGCAGTCCCTGTGTGTCAGCATGGGTGACCATCATGTCCTAAACCTGACCTGCACAAATGGAATTAACAGTTCAGAGCCTGACTCAAAAGGGAAAATGGGCTCAAGACACTCTGACC